GAGTGGGCGTGGCCCGGATTGTCAGCGTCGGCGTGAGCCAGGGAGTGGGCGTGGCCCGAGCTTCCAATGACGCCCAGCGGGCGCCCGCACCTGCCTCCTGTGAGCACGTGGCTCAGGCAGGGGAAGAGGCTGAGATGGTGAGGGTGGGTGTACCCGCTCGCCACACTTCAGCCGGAGGCAATCTTCACACCTCACTCGTTTCTGGTCACAACAAGGCTCTCTTCCCGTCTAGGACCACGTCTAACCTTGGCTGTATGGCAGCCAGCCGCGGCAGCTGTCCCCAGCCTCCCACCCTGGGGTAATTTCCCTTTCTCAGCTCCACTGCAGCGCCCTCTGCTGCCCCGGCCAGCCTGCTGTCTGTCTGATCTGACTCTCATTGCACCCTCATCGCCACCCCAGATGGTAAGTTCCTTGAGGGCACAGGCTGTGTCTCCCTGTGCAGCCCAGTGCCTGGCACGTAGCAGGAACTCAACAAACATTTAAACAAACATTTGTTGATTAAATGACTGTTGGGCACAATCACAGGAAGGTGGGTCTCCACTCCTAGAGGAAGGGCTGAGTCCGGTATTAAGTGACTTGGCCAAGGCCACAAGGCCAACACGCGTTTCCACCGCCGGCCTGGTTCTACACAGGGACCTCTCTGCGGGCCTATCCCTCCGCGGCTCTTACAACGGGGCTGGGGTAGGCAAAGAGGGCAATCCGCAGCGAGATGCAAGTCGGAGAGGAGGAACGGCGGGGTAGCGGGTGCAGGACTGGACGAAGTCTTTTCACTGCCCAGACCAGGTCTCGGCCTCCGAAGAGTAGCTCCCCAACCCGGCTCTAGCCTACTCCCGCTGTGTCGGTAAGAAACGCTGACCCCACGCCCGCAGGCACGAGCCCAGGCTCCACCTCTTCCGGATGCAGCGCTGACTCCGGTTCGGTGATGGGCCCTGGCTCCGCCCCTTCCGGGTGCCAGGTAGGCCCCATCCCTACTGCGCACCGGGGTTTCTGTGACGTAACGGCCACGGTCACGGTCTGTTTCCGGGGCGGAGCCAGGGAGGGCGGGAGTTTAGACTGCGCCGGCCCCACAGCCCCCCCTCCAGGTGACGCCAGCCCCCGAAAATCCTCTCTCAGGGCCCCCGATCTCCTAGCCCGTTTACCGCCAGACCCCTTGCCCTGAGCCCCGAGAAAACTCAGGCCCCCGAGTTGGCCGGCCTCCGAAGCCTTGGACGTCCTCAGTAGCCCCCGGCCACGACGGAGTAGTTAAGGGTTCCGGGGGCATCTGCCTCACATTGCTTGCGAACAACTCAACCTCGTCATGACAGGGACCGAGGAGGGGTCGGGTGTGGGGAGGCCTTGATGCAATGATGCTGCCACTCCCCAGGAGACGTTCGGAGCCCAAGACATGTCGGGACTGAAGAGATACGAAGTGGCGCTGGAGGCGGAGGAGGAGTGAGTGGAGGCGGGGTTCTGCGGGGGAGGGGCCCGCCGCCCGGGTGGGGGAGGGCGCGCCCCCGGGGGCGGGGCCTCAGGGCGGGGCCGCCTCTGGGGGCGGAGCGGGCCTGCGGAGGGACCGCCCCTGGGGGCGGGGTGGTGAGGGCCTGCGGAAGAGCCGCCCTGGGGCGGGGCGATGAGGGGCGGGCCCGCGGAGGGACCGCCCTCTGGGAGGGGCGGGGCCCGCAGCTGGCCCCGCCCCCCGTGCGTGCTCTGTCTCCCCTGCAGGATCTACTGGGGCTGCTTCTACTTCTTTCCCTGGCTGCGCAAGTGGCGGAGGGAGCGGAGGTAGGGGCTGCGGCCCGGTGCCTGCTCCAGGGCGGAGCTGGTGGGGGGGGAGACGGGGCCCGCCGCGCCTCACGCCGTGTTGGGTCGCCCCGCAGCTCAGCGCACCCCCGGGAGCAGAAGCTGGAGCCTCTGCGGGGCCTGATGAGTTGTCTATCGAGCGGCCTGGGGCCCGCTGCCCAGCCCTCGGGCCGTGGCCTGCCCCGCCGCCCTCCGTCCGCTGCTGCCCAGCCTGCCCGTGCATTAAAGATTTAAGCGAAGCCCCGCACCGCCCTCCTGACTGGCCACTGGAGCCTAGCCCCGCCTTCCCGCAGACTCTAAAGGCCCCTCCCTGCCTGAGCAGGGCCCCTGGGGTCCAGGACGCAGTTATCCTTGGGGGCCCCTCCTCAGACTGCCTGCCCCAGCACACACGTCCCCCCGCGCCGTGAGCCCAGGGAGGGGTGCAGGAGACTGCCTGGCGCCCGTTCCAGCCTTCCCCTCCCACGGGCGGGCCCTCTGCGCCCCTGCCCTCCCGTGGCGCTGGAGTCTTCTCTTCCCAGGAGTAAAACCCGAAACATTTTCAGCCAGATGTTGGAGGAAGCGGGCCGAGAGTGAGAGGGGAAGCTGCCTTCCCGTCTGCCATGGGGGATGGGGACCGTGGGGGCCCTGCCTCCACTTAATGCCCCACCTTCGGGCTCCTGCAGTCTGACTCCACAGTTAGAGATAAAGTTCATGGGGACCGTGTTCCCTACCACCCCCGTTTTGTCTTGTTACCTGATCAGCTTGGAACCCACTGTCTCCTAAGGTCCTGAATGAAGGTCGGGGCTGCTATGTGGGCTTGCTTTTGGTTAGGGACAGGCCTGGTACCAGAAGAGTCACCAGAGGACTAAGTTAAGGAGAAAGCTGCCTTTCAGCCTAGGGTTGCTCCTGACACAGCCTGTGGGGGGCCGGGGAGAGCCCACCCAAGGGCACAGCTTCATCTGTGGAGAAACAGCAGTGGAGACGGAGCCATACCTGGAAGGAATTGCTTCCTGCTTGCCAGGTCTCTGGACTGCTGTGTGCAGGAGAGACCCCAGTGTGTGACATCCAGCTAGCTGATGGAGGTCTGTGACATGATGGTGGCACCCGAGTGACTGGCTCAATGGCCACACCCACGCCCTGGGCACAAGTCCAGGTGGAGTGTGGGACAGAGACCCTAAGGCCCCTGGTACCAGTCATCCCAGATGAGTGCCCAGAGGGGTGTGGCTGCCTGAACTCTTCCGTTGGCTTACGACGTCCACAGCAAGGACCTCTCACGTGTGGAGCGCCACACCTCACCAGGACCCTGTCAGAAACCTTCACTTCCAAGGAGGTGCCTTCAGGCCTCCCCTTGGGCAGGAGGAAGAAGAGGCTGGGGTGGTTCAGCCCCGAGGGAGACTCCTTGGGGGCGGAAGTCCCTCCTGATGGTTGGAGCTGCCTGGGGAAGTTGAGACTCCCCACCCCAAGGCAAGTCTACCCCCAGAGGGTGGCTGGCTGCGGACTAGAAAGTGCTTCAGCTCCAGCCAACTAAAGACTGGATTACTGGACTGTGACTCGGCTGATGTGTCGTATACAGGGCAGACCCTTAGGTTGGAATCCCTGGAAGTGGGAAATTCTTGAAGGTGCCGGGGGTACTGAATACCACAGCACACCCTCAGCCAGCCTGCCCTCAGCAGGGCCCAGCTTCCTGGAAGGACAGGATGAGGAGGGGAGTTTTGTGTCAGTATTACTCATTGAATTGTGTCCCCAAAAATGTGTGTTGTAAATCTTCACCCCTACACCTGTGGTGGTCATCACACCCGGGAGTGGCGTTTCTTTATGTTAAGGAGGCAGCATGACTGCAGGGTGGGCCTTAAGTCAGTGTTTTAAGATAGAAAAGAGCCAGGGGCACAGTTAGGGAGACTTCCTAGGTGTCAGCAAACAGCACGGAAGTGGTTGGCTGGGTGCAAGGCTTAGGACCATTGTCTCATGAGCTCACGCGCTCAGCATAACGTTTCTTCTAAAGTTAACCCTCTGTACCCTCATTGCGTGAGTGGTGCCTGGGGACTTCAGAGCCTCCAAGTGGCCATCAGAGGTACAACTCTGGGTCTCTGCTCTGTGGAGTAAAAGAGAGTGAAGAAACCAAAGACTCAAGAGAGACTAGCCCACAGGACTCACATCCCATACAGACCACACACGGCCTCTTCCTCCTGAGACCAGAAGAACTAGATGGTTCCCGGCTACCCACGTTCATAAAAAAGACCAGAGTTACTAGACTGCTAGAAACGGGAGGGACCCCTGAGATTGTCACCCTAAGGTACACTCTCAACCCAGAACTGAAACCATGCCTGGAGGTCACCTTTCAGCCACATAGTAGATTGATTATAAAATACACAGTGTCCCTCGTGGGTGACGTGTCCCTTAAACAGTGAACCACACGAGACCAGATGATGGTCACCATTCACCCCAAAGCAACGACGAGGAGCAGGAAGGGGTAGGGGAACTAGAGCCACAACCACAGAACCAACAGTGGACATGCTGCGAATCTGGCACTCGGTGAAAATCATCACAGATGCCATGGGACAGTTTGTACAAACATTGTTAAATGCGAACCTCATTCACTGTGTAAACTTCCACCTGAAAAACAATAGAATATTGGGGGGGAAAAAGAGACTAACTTTGCTTGTCAGCAACCATCTGAGGCACAACAATTGGTGTCTTCACTGGGAGCAACAGAGGAGGAAGGAGTCAGGAAGAGGGGGAGAGGGTCTGTGTGGCTGACGCCTCCGTGAACGACGGCCTCCTTTGCCATGAGACCAGAACAAGTAGTTGGTCCCCAGCTACCATTACTGAACTTTATGTTCAAAGATTCTATAGAAGAATCCTGATCCAAACGGGGAAAATGCAGAACAGAATTTCAAAGTCTTATGGACTCCAGGCTTTCTGGAGCCACAGAGGGTGAATGAACTCCTCAGACAACTGCCCTGACATAGTATTGAACTTAACCCCAACCTACCCCCTGAAGTCTTCTAAGAAGCAAACCATAGTTTAGCTTATTAGTAAAACATGTCTGCGTTGGCATCATCCTTCTAAAGAACTACCTACAAGGGGTCAGAGTGACAACAGCAACGTGAGATTAGGTAGGAGCCTCGGTGGTGGTGCGTGCTGCCGAGCCTCCCACTCACAGCAGCCCCACGTACGACAGAGGCACCAGTGCCCGGCCCTGTGCCAGCCTCACGGTCCCCGACGTGCGGAGCCTACTGTTGAAGCCGCTGGTCAGTCCGTCTCATCCAGGGCCTTCTCCTTTTAGGTGACCCTCACTTTACCAAGCATGATACCCTTCCCCACAGACTAGTCCCTTCTGAGCACACGACCAAAGGAGGTGAGACCAAGTCTGGGCACTCGTGCTTCCAAGGAGCATTCCGGTGCACTTCCTCCAGGACAGATTGGTCCGTTCTGGCGGCCCATGGCACTGTCAGCGTTCTTCCCCAGCACCACGACTCAAAGGCATCAACTCTTCTTCGGTCTTCCCTATTCATTGCCCAGCTCTCACAGGCATGTTTGTGCCATTTCTGTTATAGCAGCACTAGGTTAACTAAGACGGGCAGCAAGAGAGGATGGAGGGCTGGGGGTGGGGTTAGGAGGGGAAGGACAAGCGGGGATGGGAGGCCGCGCACAGAAGAGGTGGCCTGTACCTGAAGGACAGCGGCAGGGCTGTGGGCGTTGTTGTGGATGGGGAGTTAGTGGACCCCGGTGATGACGGGGATGTTTCTCCAAGACCCCCAGTGGAGAGGGGCTGCGATGGGAGCAGGACAAGAGGGAGGAAGTGGGTCTTGAGTGTGATGCCTCCGGCCAGGGACTGGGAAGCCCCCTCCCCACAGCACAGGCAGGGCCCGTTCGTGCCAGGGAAACCCCAGCTCCTGCTGGCGAGGGGCTGGCATTCCTGGGGCAGGACGGGGCAAAACTGGAAGACAAGATCTCTCGGGACTTTTACCGGTTTTGACATCAGCAACCTGGCACCAAGGAGCTCTGTGTTCCCGTTTACCCGCCCCACCCTTCCTCGGTCTCCTCCTCCTGGGGGAGCAGCCCCCACCTCAGCATCCTCAGGGCACCCCAACACCGTGCAGCGGAGCCTGCTCCCAGCTGCTCAGTCAACGTGGCTGGGACCAGCCAAGACCCCTCCCCGCCCGAAGGGCCTGCCGTGGGGACCCACGCCCATCAGTTTCTCCTGATCAGCGGGTAGGCTGGGAAAGGAAGTGGGAGGGAAGGTGAAGATGAGTTCCTGCCGGCCTGCCTCATGCTCCCATGCACCCATCCGAGCCCGTGCCCTTGTGCAGCTGTGTGACTGCATGACGGGGAACACACAGCTGGGGGGGGGGGTGAGTGCAGCCGGGGCTGCGTGACTGCCTGACTGTGACTTTGGGAGCCAGTCTGTGACCAAGGTGTGACTGACGGTGCAGCTACGGTTATGAGCGTGAATGTCCGTCACTGGGGAGCTCTGGCTGCCCTCCGTTACCGGGCCATCAGCTGCCCCACGATGCCCTCCTCTCCTCAGCTGCTCCGGCCCAGGCTGCAGAGCCCTGGGAAGCAGCGCTCCTGGAATCTGAGCATCTGTGGCAACAGGCCCAGAAGCCGGGCCCAGGTGCTGGCCAGAGGGGCAGGGCGCCTCCCCTGCCACTGACTCACGGCCTCCGCCTCCTGGGCCGCCGCAGATAAGAGCTGGGCAGAAGCGGGCTGAGAAGCAGCTTCCAGTCTGAACAGCATGGAGGGCGCCCTGCTCCCCAGTAGCCTGCTGCTGCTGCTGCTGTTGGTAGTGGGCCCAGACCCAGGAGCAGGTGAGAGCTTGGGGGTCCAGAAGCTGGGGGTCTGCGTGAGAGTCCCATTAGGTTCCTGATGGGGGCTGGGGCTGGGTGCCTCTCAACAAGTGGCCCCACTGCCCTCAGCTTTCTTACAGCCACCCGCCCTCACCTGCTGCACGGAGCTCTACCAACGGCCACTCTCCGACAAGCTGCTCAGGAAGGTGACCCGTGTGGAGCTACAGATGGCTGATGGGGACTGTCATCTGCAGGCTTTCGTGTGAGCTCTGAGCCCAGCCCTGACACTGGCCCCCGACACTGACCCCCAACTGGGACCTCAGTCCCAGCCCCGACACTAACCCCCGGATGGCACCTCAGTCCCGTCCCCCGACGCTGACCTCTGACAGGGACCTGAGTCCCGTCCCCCGATGCTGACCCCCGACTGGGACCTCAGTCCTGTCCCCTGACACTGACTCCTGACTGGCACCTCAGCCCCCAGCCCCCAGCCGACGCTGACCCGACTGGGACTTCAGTCCCGTCTCCCGACGCTGAGCCCCGACTGGGACCTCAGCCCCCAGCCTCCAGCCCCTAGCCCCCGACGCTGACCCCCGACTGTGCCCTCAGTTCCATCCCCCGACGCTGACCTCTGACTGGGACCTGAGTCCTGTCCCCCGACCCCTGACTGGGACTTAAGTCCTGTCCCCCAATGCTGACCCCCGACTGGGACCTCAGCCCCCTCCCCTGACACCGACTCCTGACTGTGCCCTCAGTCCCATCCCCCGACGTTGATCCCCCAGCACCTCAGTCCTGTCCCCTGACGCCGACCCCCGGCTGGGCCCTGAGCCCCGTCCCCCGACACCGACCGCCGGCTGGGCCCTCAGCCCCGTCCCCCGACTGATGCCCACTCACGTCTTCATCTAGGCTTTGCCCCTAACCCCTGGGCCCCGACCTCACCCTCGAGTCTTGACCGTGGCTCCGGCCTCTCCTTCCCAGGCTTCACCTGGCTCGGCGCAGCGTCTGCATCCACCCCAAGAACCGCAGCCTGGCTCAGTGGTTTGCAAATCAGGGCCGGGGGCCCCGGGGCACTCTGTCCAACCTAAACTTGGGACTGCTGGGGAAGAGGGGCTCAGACCCTCAACAGCCAAAACAATAAAGCAGTGTCTGAGGGGATCCCCGCGTCTGTGCACCCTGGAGAGGTCTCACTCGGGAGCTGCGAGCTTCCTTGGTCCCTTTATTCACACTGCCACAACCCCCTGAAGGAAAGCCAAGGGCCAAGAACCCACATACACTCCCCTGGCACATACACACCTACGTGCAGAAGACATGTGTCCCCTGCCTCATGTATAACATGCATGCTCACGTGCGCGCACACACGCGTCCCTCAGGCTGGACGCCGGCTCTGGGGTGAACTCTGGGCCGGACGCCTGTCAGCTGGCACGTTCAGAATCCAGTCTCTCACAGAAGCGGGCTCCAAAGGGCACTTCCAGCCTCGACTGCGCTCTTGCAGGGAGAACTCTGTCCTGCACGGGGTTCCATTTGTCCATCCACACCAGCAATACCGTCACGGTGGAATCAGCGCAGGCCCTCCTGGGTCCACTATAGGTTTGAGGATCCTACAGGAAATGGGAGGGTGCTCAGGAAGGGGCAGGCCCACATCTCAGCCCAGACATGCTGGTGGGGGCCCTCAACTCTGATCCGAGATGCCTGGAAGTAAGGGTGCATACCATGCTCCGAGCCCAGCACCCCAAGAATGAGGAGGGGAGGCCACCCACAAGCCCGAGGATCCCAAGGGCGGCCAGGGACTGCAGAACCAAAGCCCAGCCCTGAGCCAGACATCACAAGGACGAGCGGGAGACCCAGCTGACACCTGCCACCCAGAGGAAGACTGGGGCCGCCATCTCTGGGTCCGGACGTTGTCAAGATGGGGCACCTCTCCAAGCCCAGACCCCAGGGAGGGCCTACTCACTCTTGAACTTGTCCACAGCATTGATGGGGCCCAAAAATCCATGCTTTGGGGGTCCATCCTTCTGGTCCAGTCTCAGTCTCAGCCTGGGCATGAAAAGGCAGCTGTCCCCGACTGTGTGGGGTATGTCACTCTTGTCCAAAAGGGTGCTGACACACGGTCAGGAGAGGAAGTGGCGACAGGTCCAGGGAGAGGTTGGCGGGAAGTCCCGGGGTGGGAGTGGGGGCGGGGTCATGAGGCTCAGACACGGGGGGGTTACAGGTGGACACTTACCAGAGCCCCAGTACCAGGGCTCCGGCCACCAGCCCTAGGAAAGAGAGGATTCCCAACGACGCCAGCATGGCCACCTGCTCCAGGGGGACCCTGTGGTCTGAGGGGGATACCACACGCAGCCGTGAGATCAAGCCTACCCTAGCTTGGCACCCCTTCTCCCGGGGGCTTCCCTCTGCCCACCTGCCCGAGCTCACCAAGTGGCCGTGGGCCCGGCTGGAGGGAGGGCCTTGAGGGGACAAGGCTGCCTGCCGGTGGCTGTGCCTCCAGCCTTGACGGTGGCTGGCCCCCCACCAGCAGGTCCTCTGGTGGGGGCCCTGAAGAGACAGGAGACCTGAGAAGTGTCCATGTGCAGTGGGAGTGGCCGGGGGGTCCTGCTGGGCGAGGCTAGGGCCTGAACTGAACACAGGTGCACCTTGCTGGGGGCGGGGCTTATAAGAGTCCCTATTGGGGTGTCGAGCTGCCTCCTGCTAACAGCGTACAACAGCAGAGAACACTGCCTGGGGCCTGTGCCGGCCTCACAATCCTCACCATCACTGCTAGGCCCATTGTTGTGGCCATGGTGTCCGTCCCTCTCCTAAGGGTCTTCCCACCAGCAGGGGGCCAAGGGCCAGGGCTCACACTAGGGTGGGGGCTGCAGGCACCGGAGGCTGCCATGCCCACGTGGGCAGGGCACGTGCCAGGGGTCCTACTTACATGAAGTGGCAGTGGGCCAGCTGACAGTCGCTGCGGGGACCCGCTGGCTCTGCCTCTCACCAGCGCTCGGAGTGCCCCAGACCTCAGGGCTCCAGGAGCTCCAGGTGCCAGCATCCAGGAAGTCCCGGGCACTGACCCGCACAGCATGGGGCAGCCCAGCCACTGCGTCCGTGATCACCTCTTCCAAACCCACGGGCTCCACCTGGGGGTACATACGGGCACGGGCGTGTTCCATCGGTGGTAAGCACAGAGGCTGCAGGCCCCCCAACGCCAGTCTGCAGAGAGCCCCCTCCTCCCCAAGCCTGTCCCTGTGGACACAGTATTGTACGGTGGTCATTCGCATGGGCTGTGGCCTCAGACGGCTTGGGTTCGAATCCTGCTGCTTACCGAGTGACTTGAGGCCCCAATGTGCCCCAATTTCTCCCTTTGTGGAATGGGGTGACTTTACCTAAAGGAGGTGTCACACAAAAGTGTGTGGCCCAAAGCCCGGCAGGCAGGTCGGGATCCAAGGCAGCCCCACCCTGGCCCCCACACCGGGAATCTCCGATGTCTCTGGAGCCCATGCCTGGGGGGAGGGCATGCCTTCGGCCCCCTGCAAAGGTTACTTTTATCTATAGTCTGCAGGCCCCTCTGTCTGTCTGCCGTGCCCATGTGACCCCAGCATCTAGCACAGAGCTCGGCCCATGGGGTGCCCTCTGCAGGGACAGGCAGAGCGGCTCAGAGGCCTGACAGTCGGGGAGCCATGCAGGGCGCCCCCTGAAACCAGAGCCAGACCTCACAGGCCCAGCTTGGGACGTGCCCCGAGCCTCACCGTGGACCAAGCTGGGTGCTGTGCTGGCCGGTACTGCAGCCGGAACTTGAGGAGGAAGTGGGGCTGGTGGGGCCAGGAGACGGGGTACTTCCAGCTGACATGCAGGCGGCGGGGGTGACCAGGTATGGGCTCCACGCGCAGCCCCTGCGGTGGGTCAGGGCGCACTGAGGGTGGGGACACAAAGTCAGGGCAGCTACAGGCACCCTGCTTCCCCACCACTGCCCAGGGAGGCGGGGTGTGCCCCAGAGGTGCTGCCGTGGGGGCAGACCTGCACCTTGCTCAGGGCCTGTCCGTCATGTGATGTCAGCCTCGGTCTGGGGGGGGAATGTTGTTGATGAATAAAAGGGGGCTTCTGAGGTGCCCCAACCTCCAGCCAGAGCTTGAGGGCCCCTGCCCCAGGCACCAGAGGAAGGAGGGGCGTCTGCTGGCGGGCTTGGAAAGGCTGCTTTCAGAGCGGGCCTAGCAGATGGGAGCCAGGTGGACCATGGCCAGGGGGCAGTCAAGTAGCTCTAGGGGTTGGGGGGCTGCTTCCTAGGCTCTTCGTTCCAAGGCTGTGTGGGGTGCACAGTGCAGGGCATTCTATATGCTGAAATGGGGTCTGTGTTGGGGGAGCTGTTTGGGGCTCTTTGGTGGGGCACTGGTCCTCTGTGCATGGTGTGGGGCTCTGTGTTGGGTGGGATCGGTATTGGGGTGTCTGTCCTCCGTGGTTGGTGGGGGCTCTGTGCAGGCTCTGCATTGGGGTGTCTGTCCTCCGTGGGTGGTGGGAGGCTCTGTAATGGGGCTCCTGTCCTCTAGGGGTAGTGTGGGGCTCTGTAGAGGCTCTGCATTGGGGTGCCTGCCCTCCGTGGTTGGAGGGGGCTCAGTGGAGGGATCAGGGGGAGGTCCAGGGTGGGCACTCACAGATGTTCTGCAAGCTCACATCCAGCAGACGGGTGCTGGCCCCCAGGGGGTTCACCTCGGTCACATTGATCCGGTACTGGCTCCAGAATTCCGCCCCGTGAACCACACAGCGGGCAGCCCCTGGGGGGTCCTGCGGGCACGGCCAGGGCCCAGTGGATGAATTCGTCCTGGGAGGGAGGATTGGCCTTGGGCTTCAGCAACGCCCCCATGGGACTCCCCCGGAGCCCTCCGTCTGGCCCTCCCGCCTACCTCTGGTTATCAACTCCTGGCACTGTCTTCTTCCTGGTTGGGGAGTGGGGCGATCTCAGGTCAGGAGGGAGAAGGGGGCCCCAGCCCCCGCTCAGGGCCTCCCTCCCTGCCTCCCGCCCCCACCGCGTGGACGCACACATGAACAGACCCTCACACCCGTCTCACACACCTGTAGGAGGTGAGGTATTGAGTGGGCAGATGGCTGACGCGGCCTGGACCCCAGGTGCAGGAGAAGTTCTCATAGTCGGCCGCTCGGCAAGAGACAACAGGGCGGGCTGGGGGGTCTGGGGGCAGAGAAGGCAGCTGGAGGCCCGGCAGCCCCGGCACCTCCCCGTGTCGGAGGCTCAAGTAGCACCCAGGTCCCCTCCGGAGGCTTATGTCTGCTCACTGCGCCCTCCCCCACTCCCGCCCCAACTCACAGCCCAGCCGCAGGGTCACTGTGGCTCCAACAGCACCATCCAGGGTCTGGCAGATGTAGCTACCCTCGTCGGTGCTGTCTGCCCGAGTCAGGACGAGTTCAGGCCCTTGTCCAGAGCTGGGTCCCTGGAGCAGCCTTGGCTCTCTGTCCCAAAACCAGGACACCGGGACCCTGGGGATGGGATGAGGTGAGGATGGATCAAAACCCCAACCACACCCACTGTCATCAAGTTGATTCTGACCCACAGCGCCCCTAGAGGACAGAGTGGACCTGCCCACAGTGTCTCCAAGGCTGTCAGTCTTCACAGAAGCAAAGCCCAAACCACACCCACTGCCGTGGAGTCCATTCTGACCCACAGCGCCCCTA